TCTACCACTTAGCGAATTACTTAAAGGACCACTATAGTGCCAGGAAAACATACTCGTTTTCCTGTCACTATAGTGCCCTGAGGGTGACCCCACCCTCAGAGACCCCCTCCTGCCCGGCTCTGGAAGGGGGAAAGGGGTTTAAACTTACCTTTTTCCAGCGCTGGGCGGGGAGCTCTCCTCCTCCTCTCCGCCTCCGATCCTCCTCCTGGGTTGAATGCGCACGCGCGGCAAGAGCTGCGCGCGCATTCAGCCCGTCGCATAGGAAAGCATTTACAATGCTTTCCTATGGACGCTTGCGTGCTCTCACTGTGAAAATCACAGTGAGAAGCACGCAAGCGCCTCTAGTGTCTGTCAATGAGACAGCCACTAGAGGATTAGGGGGAAGGCTTAACCCATTCATAATTATAGCAGTTTCTCTGAAACTGCTATAATTATGAAAAAATGGGTTAACCCTAGCTGGACCTGGCACCCAGACCACTTCATTAAGCTGAAGTGGTCTGAGTGCCTAGAGTGGTCCTTTAAAATGTTCACTAGTACATAAAAATCAACCACCCCGCGCAGTGAGTGATCAGAGTTTCAAAGCTGCAGGTTATGACACATCAACTCGGTTGTTGGTATTTAACTTCCTACTTCTTTAAACAGCTATTGGAATAATATTATTGCCCATTCCGGAGTGACTAAAATAATACTTCCTACTTGGAATGTCTTAATTAAAAAGAAAATATCACATAAAAAATATGATTGAGTCATGGCAGGTATTTAATGGCATTATGAGAAAAAAATATACAAGGCATAGCCAGGACATACCTACTTGTCTTTGCATGCCATGTTTTTGAATTGTTTAGTTAAGTATTTGAGCTGGAAAGAAGTCAAATGACATGTCTAAATGTCTACAAAACAAAGAAGCTACTAAGAGTTGTTGATACATTGTGAGTAATTGCTTTGTTGAGGGGATAAGCTCTTCAAGTGGTTTTACTATCTTTGGATAAACTTTAAAAAGATTTTTTTAAATATTATAATATCAAAAATAAATCATATATACACATAATATACACTGACCAGACACAACTTTTTAAACCACTGGCAGGTGAAGTGAATAACATTGATTATATCTTTACAATGGCACCTGTAAAAGGGTGGGAAATATTAGGCAGCAAGTGAACAGTCAGTTCTTGAATTTCATGTGTTGGAAGCAGAAAAAATGGACAAGTAAAAAGATCTGAGTGATGTTCGCAAGGGCCAAATGATGATGGCTAGATAACAAGGTCAGAGCATCTCCAAAACAGCAGGTCTTGTGGGGTATTCCCAGTATGCAGTGGTTAGTGTCTATCAAAAGTGGTGCAAGGAAGGACAAATGGTGAAGCGGCCTCAGTGTCATGGTCACCCAAGATTCATTGATGTACGTGGGGAGTAAGATATAGTCCACCTCATCCGGTCACACAGAAGAGCTACTGTAACTCATATTGCTGAAAAATAATGCTGGCCTTGATAAAAAGGTTTCAGAACACACAGTGCATCACAGCTTGATGCATATGAGCTGCATAGCTGCATATCAGCCAAAGTGCCCATGATGACCCCTGTGCACTGCCAAAAGTGCCTTCACTGGGAACACGAGTGTCAAAATTGGACCATGGAGCAATGGAAAAAGTTTCCTGGTGAATTACATTTTCTTTTAGATCAGGTTGATGGCAAGATGCATGTGCATCGTTTAAATGGGAAAGAGATGGCAGCAGGATACATGGGAACATGGCAGGTTGGCCAATGTTCTGCTGAGAAACCTTGGGTCCTGGCATTCATGTCAACATTACTTTGACACATGCCTCCAACCTAGAGATTGTTGCAGACCATGTACACCCCTGCATGACAATGGTGCTCTCTGATGGCAGTACCTCTTCCAGCAGGCTAATTCACCCTGACACACTGCAGAAATTTTTTAACAATGCTTTGAGGAACATGACAAAGAGTTCAAGGCCTTGGCCTCCAAATTCCCCAGATCTCAATCTGATTGAGAATCTGTGGGATGTGCTCCAACACAAATTTGATCCATGAAGGGCCCACATCACAACTTATTGGACATAAAGTATCTACTGCTAATATCTTCATGCCACATACCACAGGACATGTGTAGTGGTCTTTTGGAGTCCATGACTTCATGCATCAGAGCTGTTTGGCAACATGAGGGGTACCAATACAATATAAGGCAGGTTATTTTAATGTTGTGGCTGATCAGTGTATAATCTAAAGCATAAAAACAATGGACAGGCACTCACAAAAATAAAGCACAATCCAAGGGTGCTAATATTGCTTAACCCATTAGGGACATTGATCTTCGATCTGTCCCCCTCTTTGTAGTCCAGTTAATCCACAGTTCCTCATAAGATGATCTTGGCCCTTGCTTTAAGGAGATGTACAAAGGAGAAAATTCTTCTATTGTAAACTGAAAAGTCTCCTGTGCATGCCAATCGTTCAAAGCTCAATGTGTTTTTTTATACAGACTTTTTCAAGAGCCGTTGGTCTACTTCTGCCAGTCTTCTTCTTGATACCGCTTCCCATTAATGGCAACTGGCCCCTCTTTAGTTATATACTTTTATCATTTCATTAATTCATCAAACCAAGAATATCTAATTCACTATTTAAACCAAAAATCCATTTAGCTTCTATTCTTGTAAGTGCTAGGGAAATATCCCCTCCACACCAATGTAGTTCTACTATATCTATACCTATACATAAAAAAATATAATCTGTGCAATTTTGACAATATCTTGGAACCCTGTGCTTCAAACATTTCTTTCTAATCCCATAAAAATGTTTTGCTAGTCTTTCATGTAAGTTTTAGCAATTCTTCCAACATATTGCACTCCACAACCATACTGTAATAAACAAAATTTTTACTTTCACAATGAATATGTCTAATCTAAAAATTTTCTTTAGTTCTAAATCTTTTAAACTTTATGTTCTTTATCTTTTGGTGAAATTTTACTTACAATTTTATTTACATTTTATTTTTCCCTTCTGGCAGAGCATTCAGGGCTTCTTTATTTTTCAAATTTTTTGCCCATTTAAAAACTGTAATGAGATTTTTAAAACGTTGTGTTTCTTTTATTTATAAAGTATTTTACCTGGAAAGCTATATTGAGATTTCTCTTGTTCTCAAGTATGTCCTGAGCACACAAAGTTTGCATTGTTACAATAGGGTACAATATAATATTGAAAATACAATATAATATTAATATTATATATATATATAAATTTACACAGAATAGTAAAGAAATATAGTCAACCAGTTATTCTATACTGAGATATGTTGACAGAGATTGAAGGGATTTTTGACTGGAAGAAGATTTGACTGTGTCCTTGAAGTTATTCCATAATTGCTGTGTTCCGTAGGAAAATGAGGATTGAAACACTTTTTTTTGTATTGTGGAATACTAAATAAATTGCTAGTACTGGATCTGAGGTTATAGGAGGTGGAAACAGCCGGGGAGGGCATTCTACTCAGGTAGGGTGGGAGCGTCCCAGAAAAGCTCTTGAACACAAGCCTGGAAAGATGAAGAGTACACTTGGATTCCAGCGGTAGCCAGTTTAGCTCTTTAACATGTCACAATAGTGGGTCAAGTAATTGCAGCACAAAGTGGCAGAATGAGTTATACAATGTAGTAAGTTTATGAAGGTGGGTTTGCTGCACATGTGCATAAACTACATCCCCATATTTAAAGATTGACATTAACATTTGTTGTACAATCTGCTTCCTTACTGTGGGAGTTAGGTAGGATTGTTTCTGTACAGTGCAATAAGTTTTGGATAGAAAGATAGATTGGAGTATGGATATTTAAAAGAACGGACTGCAACCAGTGTGTTATGTGATTTTGTTATGATGTATAGATGAGAATTTTGTAATTTAGGTACTGTTCCAAAGATCATTGTGACAATTGTGTCAGTGTTTAAGGAAAGTTTGTTATCGGTGATCCACTTTTCTGTTGTTGTAGATTAGGTTTAGTTGAGTAGATTATGGTGTCAAAAAAATGACTTTAACCTGATTTGAAAAACGTTCCCACTTTGAGCAATTACACATTATCCTGTTGTTTTTTGTTTTTGTTTTTTCTATGATTTTGATTTAATTATTAAATCTGCGGATAAGTGAGGATGAATAGTAAGTTCAGACAGAGCAAAATATTTGAAGAAATACTTGAAGAGTAACAGGATATTGTGTAAAATTAGATAGTAACCCTACGAAAAGTTTTAAAGATCACATTAAAAATTTTTTTTTAAAAGGTAATCCTTGAAAAAATATTTTACCTAAAGATAAGTTTGTTTGTTTATTTATATATTAAATTTCCTAAATTATCAATGTTTCACCATCTACCTAAAATTCACAAAGGTTTAAGAAACCCCCCTCAACATCCAATCATAAGTGGGTTTGGTTCCCTTACTAGTAATATGTTTTAATATGTTGATTATTTTTGGCAAAAATATGCCCTACAAGCTCCCACATACCTTAAATATTCCTCCCAGAATTGTCATCTGTCCCCTGAAGGCAGGATTACGTGTGGGTCACAATAAATGTAACATCCATATATACAGTCATTGACCATCAGAAAGGTCCTCTGTTTGAATAAGGATAGGAACCCTAGTCAGGTTTAATTTATATTGAACTGTATTCAGTTCATAGTGGCCCAGAACTATTTCCGGTTTGAGGGCATTATTTCCTACAAAAGCTGGGTAATGATATGGGCACGAAATTTGCTCCCACTTATGACAACGTTTTTGTGGCAGACTGGAAACATCTGGAGTAATAACATCTACTCCCAAAATTTTATGCTCTGGAGGATGTGCATGGATGACATTCTCAGGATCTAAAATGGAAATGAAAAGAATTTAGGAGAATGTTTGAGTTTCATAGACAGGAATGAATATGACTTAATATTTTCAGCAAGTAAGGATTAAAATATTATAGATTTTTTTTTAGATATTGCTGTTTTTTATTATTTTTTTATCTTTTTATTTTTTTCAAAGATAACATACAAATCAGTGACACATTTATGCACAGAAAGCAAAGTTGTACATGGCATCATTCCAATAAGATATCATATTCAACATGTAACAGCTTTCTATAACAAGTACATGTTAATATCTATTACATTGTCACTTTTTAACTTGATAGGTAAGATAAGTATCACCTTACACCAATTTCCCATAGGATGTTCGTAAAACAATGTGTCATGACGGTTAATATAAGTTATAAAACCAAAACAGAAAGTAAAGCAATGGTAGTTTGTTAACACTATGTGTGCTTCTTCTACGTGTAGGTAATATAGAGAGGCTCAGCAAATACTTTGATCTCTTTCTTAAGTAAGTAGATATTGCTTATTTGTTACTGATTTTACAATAGAAAGAAAAAAAATTTTAAGCCTACTGATGGAAATAATTTCATTGATTTTATTTGTAGAGATGTCGCGAACCGTCCGCGAACTTCTCATGGATGCTGTCCAGGAAGTAGGAGGGTCTGGGAGGGAGGGTCTGCTGGAGATTGGCCGGGATGTGTCAGCTGACCGGAGTTCGCCACAAACGGTTCGCCCCAACTCTATTTATTAGCTGTCACTATTCCAAATGGTTAACGAACATAAAAAAAATGTTCTTAGGAACATTTACAACCAATCAGTCCCCTAGCTTCAGGGAGATGTACAAAGGTGAAAACTTGTCTACTGAAGACTGATGAGTTGCCTGTGCATGTCGATCATCCAAAGCTTGACACGTTTCATCTGCATCGTCTAATTTTTCCAAGAGCTGTGGGTTCCCTTCCACTGGTCTTCATCTGGAGTGATAACATCGGCTCCCAAAATCGTGTGCTCTGAAGCACATACATAGACAATGTCCTAAGTGTCTGGAAGAGAAATTAAGAGAAATTAGAAGAATTTTGTGTTTTACTTACAGGAATGTAAATGGCTTAAAATTCTCAGCAAGGAAAGATACAAATATGATAGATTTTTACATATTGTTTTTTTGTGGAGGACTTTAAAATAGAAAGAAACATTTTTTATGTACTTATGGAAATACTTTGATTTTAATAGCTGTCACTATTCTAAATGGTTAACAAATATACCTGCTTCTGCACATCAGAGCCTTAAACTGCTCTACGTATCCTGGCCCCAATGCGTACGGCATTGTGCATACGTTGGGCATGCACCTTCTGTCATTACATGATCACTACTGAATAATCACTGCCCTCTAAGGGCTATTTAAACTCATTCTGGCATCTGTACTGTACCCTGTTGTGGTAATCAGAGAGAGTGTTATTCTATTGATTCTCCTGTTGATTATTGATTATTCTGACTTCTGTATTCCTTTACATTTGCCTTGTCTTACAATTTACCTCCACTTTGTTTTCCTGGTTTCAGCTTTCCTGTAGTATTCTATTATTCATTTTAAATTTGGCTATTTTAAGGTCTGGTAGTATGTTTTAGGACAGGCATAGGCAACGTTTGGCACTGCAGATGTTTTGGACTACACCTCCCATGATGCTTTGCCAGCATTATGGGTGTAAGAGCATTATGGGGGATGTAGTTCACAACATCTGGAGTGCCGAAGGTCGCCTACCCCTGTTTTAGGATATCTGGTTTAGATTAGTTTAGTTGAAGTTTTCCGTGTTGGGTAATAGGTAACTCTGATGGAGAAATAGTGAGCTGGGCTATGGAGGCGAGGGAACTGAAGAGGGCAGTGAAATGAGAGAAGCATCACCCAGGAAAATAGTAAGTTTTCATAAAGAGGTGTGTTTTCACTGACTTTTGAAAGGACTGGAGGCTAGGAGAGAATCTGATGGCACTGAGTAGCGAATTCAAAAGGAATGGGACAGCGCTTGAAAAATCGTGCAGATGAGAGTTGGCAATGTTGAAATAAGCAGATATAAATTTAATTAATGTGCCAGTTTTATATCTACCCCTGCAAGAAGCCCATTTAATTTGAAGACTGCAGCTTAAAGGGCCAGTTTTACACCCACCCATGCAAGAAGCTTATTTAATTTTAAAAAGCAGCTTAAAAAGGTACAGACTGAGAATCAGAAGCTATTCTACCGGATTTCCTTCATCTTAGTTACTACATTTTTCATTTACTATAACAATGTTACTATTTTGCAAATTTTAATATTGATTGGCTATATCCTAAAAATAATATATCATGTAGGCTGTTTAAGACTTTGCAGCTAACACAATTAATTTCCTCCCCAACTCGCATTAATAGTAAAAGCCAGAACCATACGTTGCTCGATTGGATTCTCTCCAGTTGTCCTGACAGAATCCAGGAGGCAGGCTTTCTCCCTAACAGTTTTACTGTATTGCATACGCAAAGTAAAGGCCACTAAATCCCCTCCCAAGATTATAATCACCAAATCTTTCAAAAAATTTAATCTTGAATCCTTTTTAAATGATCTCAAGAACATAACATGGCACAGATTAGGTCTAATACTAGATCTTGACTCTGCAATTGCATTTTTTCTGCTCTTGCTTGTTGGGAATTTGCATGCCCCTCTGCGTGAAGTGCGACTAAAAGGGACACACCCGCCCTGGGTTACAGCTGACCTCATTCAAATGTACCAATTTAGAGATTCACTGTGGTCAAAGTTCAAGCATACTGGCTCCATGAAGGATCACTGTACTTACAGACATTGGCGAAATGCATTCACAAAACAAAACAAAATTGGCAACGGCCCAATATTTCAGTGAAAATTTGAACAACAACCTATCAAACCCAAGAAACTTCTGGAAAATCATTAAAGGACCACTATAGTGCCAGGAAAACATAATTGTTTTCCTGGCACTACAGGGTCTCTAGGTCCCCCCCACCCTCTGGTTCCTCCTCCCATCGGGCTCTAGGTGATGGAAGGGGTTAAAACTTACCTCCCTCCTCCTCCACTTTCCTCCTCCTTTTCGGCGTCATTGGCTGAATGCGTATGGGCGGCAAGAGCCACGCGTGCATTCAGCCAGTCCGTAGGAAAGCATTGTCAATGCTTTCCTATGGACGCTGGCGTCCAGTGAGAAGTGCGGAAGCGCCTCTAGCGACTGTCAATGAGACAGCCACTAGAGGCTGGATTAACCCTAATGTAAACATAGCAGTTTCTCTGAAACTGCTATGTTTACAGCAAAAAGGGTTAAACCCAGCTGGACCAGGCACCCAGACCACTTAATTGAGCTGAAGTAGTCTGGGTGCCTATAGTGGTCCTTTAATAGCATACAAACCCCCACAATCCACTCCCAACCCTCCACTGTCAAAATGGACAACAAAACACTGCAACACCCCCTAGATGTAGCAAATGCCTGGTTGCTAAGATAACAAATTACAATAATTTTCAGACAGCAAATAAAGATCAGGCCCTGCCAAATCTTCAAAATCATCATTTAGAAATTTAAAATTTTAGACCTGTGTCTGTTTGTGTCGTTAATAAGCATCTTAATTATTTAAAAATGAAAAACCAGTGTGGATCAGATCAAATCCCAGCAATGTTGCTGAATCTCAGTGCGCCAGCAATTGCTCAACCTGTCACTAACCTTATCAATGAATCCCTGGTGTCAGGATACATACCCAAGCTTTGGAAGACTGCAAAAGTTTTTCCATATCCATAAAAGTGGTGACAATACTTTGGTATCTAACTATCGCCCGATATCATTGCTCCCTGTATTGTCAAAAATCTTGGAAAAATGCATCCTCGCGCAACTATGTGAATATTATCAACGTTCAAATTATCTGACCCCTGATCAATCAGGCTTTCATCCAAATCCCTCAACTTTGACTGTCCTCTTAAAAGTTACTTTACTGAGAGGGTAGTGGATTCATGGAATAGCATTCCAGCTGAAGTGGTAGAGGTGAACACAATAAAGGAGTTTAAGCATGCGTGGGATAGATATAAGGCTATCCTAACTATAAGATAAGGCCAGGGACTAATGAAAGTATTTATAAAATTGGGCAGACTAGATGGGCCGAATGGTTCTTATCTGCCGTCACATTCTATGTTTCTATAGGGGCTTCAATCCCGACGCACTCTTCATCTTTCCAGCCTTGTGCATAAGAACATTTCTGGGAAGCTCCCAGCCTACCTGAGTAGAATGCTCTCCCCGGCTGTTCCCACTTCCTAGAACCTCCGATCCAGTACTAGGACGATACCGCAATACAAAAATAAAGTGGCTCGATCCTCCTTTTCCTACAGAGCACCGTAATTATGGAATAACCTCAGGGACACAGTCAAATCTTCATTCAATCTAAAATCTTTTAAGAGATCTATGGCATTATACCTCAGCACAGAATGCACCTGTCATGGTTGAATATATTTATTACCTGTTATGTATTACAAATATATATGTATATATATATATATATATATATATATATATATATATATATATATATAGTTTGTATATTGTATTTTTGTAATATTGTATCCTATTGTAACAATGCAATATTTTATGGACAAAGACCCAGGACATACTTGAAAAAGAGAGAAATCTCAATGTATCCATCCTGGTAAAATATTTTATAAATAAATAAATTTGTACCTGTAGTTTACTACTGTATAATTTTGTACTTGCAGCTACATGTAATTATTAATAATATGGCTGATAGTGTTCTGGTTGGCAAATATTGTAATTGTATTAGACAAATGGCAGGTCTGCTCAACCATTTTATGGTAGGCGGTGGTGGGTTTTATACCCGACCCATGGTTCTCCAGCACAACCACATGCTCTGCAAGCGCGCTCCTCCCTCCAGCCATCAAGAGAGACCTCACAAAAAAGCCTAACGCGTTGCGTAAATGCCTCTGTTTGCTAAATTTCTCTCGATGGCTAAAAGGAAGCATGTGTGGCTGCACTCCTACTCAGGACAAACAGGGGCATGATGATGTAACACGTTGAAAAAGGAGGGAAGTAGATGCACTCAATTTAAAAGCAGGGACAGGAAAAAGCATGGCATTTAGAGAAGCTGATCTTGAACTTTGGCAAGCTAAGTTCTGTTATTTTCTGTTCACTTGGTTTACTTAACATAAAATAAAAGAAAGAAGGAAAAATAAGTAAAGGAATGAGAAGGAGAGAATAAAGAGAATGGAAAAAGAGAAGCCTGATATATAGATATTAATTTTTTCTATTTTATTTTTTGTGGTTGGCTAATAATAAAGTGGGCTACCTAGTTCATCCTTCTTGCTGGTGATTGCAATAAAGAAGGTAAACAAAAAGAAGAAAGGAAAAGGAAGAAAAAAAATAGAAAAGGGGAACTTCTTTTTAGGGTGACATGTAATAAAAATGGCCACCTAATACAGCATTGTTGTAGGCATTTGTAATAAAAGGGAAAATTGAAAAAAGAAAAAGAAAGCACTGTGGGGAGTGGTAAGAGTAAAAGCAGTTGTTAAATGTGCAACAAATTTAGAACCCATGTCTAAAAAAAAGAAATAAACAGATAAATGTAAGTACATATTTTTAAAAAAGCCTCCTTTCTAAAAACAATTTCGCACTTGCGCTAAACAATTTAGTTAGTGTGGCACCAGTAAGTGGTAAGGAAATTTTACCATCATTTACCTACATTAGTGGGCGGTAGGTTCATTTGAGTAGGGTCCTCATGTACCTATTGTTCCAGTTACATTGAGTTATTGTATCATTGGTTAAATTCCCCTTGTAAGTAAAGCGCTGCGGAATAAGCTGGCGTGATATAAATACTAATATCATGATGGCTTACGAGAGAGAGGTCTCTCTGTAACCAATTGGTTCATACAGAATTTAAACCAAACATTCAATCCAAACAGAAATATTTGAGTAAGCCTACTTTCGGCAATTTCCCATGCTTGCATTGTAGTTCTTTTACACATTTCTATACAGGCAAACAATTTCACACCAGGAAGTTATACATATGTGATACGTCTTTTGTTGTATACTTATTAAAATAAATAAGTTATGCAGTATGGTTTCACATGTGTTGGGGAGTCCACCAACACAATTATGGAACGCTGGTTTGATATTGGAGCTGGAAATGTGACAAACCAGTTCCTGCACATTTCTTTGAACATAAACATGCAATTTCCCAGTTAAAATTACAAATTATTGACTCTGTGCCCATACAATCTAGAGGGCAGGATAGACTAAAACTCTTTAAAAAAACGTGAGGCTCTCTGGATACTCACCTTAGATTCCTTGGAGCCCAAAAGACGGAACAGGGATTTTGATGTTTCTCTTTTCTTATGATACATTCAGTATATTTTCCACATTATTATTGTTATGGTTATGGTTCTTTTGTATATGCTAATATTGCTGTTTCTTTTTTCTTTAGGATATTACGTCTGCCTTTTCTGATGTGGTTCCCTGTCTTGTAGTCAGGGCCGGTGCAAGAATTGTTGCCACCCTAGGGAAAAAAAAAATATTTGCCGCCCCTCCATGTAGTGACATCACAATGTCCTACCCATATGATCTGCCCATGTCATGACATTAGCTATGCCCAATCCCTGAGTGACTGCTTCTACAGCAGTCTGACCCTCTGGCCAATATTAATTCTGTTTGCTGGGTCTCACTTGGGCAGCTCATTTGCCCAGACTCCAGTAAAGCCGCCATATGTGCGCATAGGCATGCGCAGCCCATTTTATTAGGGTATGCACCAGGAAATTCTTCCCCTATGTTATTTTGTTATTGTTATGTAATGTAAATTATTTTAAAAATGTTAAGTTGATATGCGTTGTGGGTTTGGTGTAGGGTGGCCTAAAGTGTTGTAGCTATGTGTGAAGTGTATGTTGTGGCTTTCTGTGCGTGATGTAGTTGTCTGTGTAATGTGTGTATAGCTGTCAGTGTCTGCATGTGGGTAGTTGTAAATGGTATGTGTGGTAGTGTGAGAAGCTGCGAGTGATACGTTTGCGCTGCTGTGAGTGTTATGTGTGGCAATGTGTGATGTGTGGGATATGTAGGAAGTAGTGGAATTTCCATTTAGTACAAGATGAGAAGAGAGATTCAAGTAAGCTCCCCCTCAACCCAATATAGCTGGGGGGTGGGGGAGTTAAGGTGCTGTAGTGAGGGTTTAAAGGCAGCAGTCAGGATAAGGGGCTGTAGTGATGGATATGGGCAGTAGTGGATGTTAGGTGGCAGTAGTGGATGTTAGGAGCAGTGGGGTGATAGGGGATGCAGTGGGGGATAGGGGATGTAGTGGGGGTGTAGTGGGGAGTAAGGGCTGAAGTGAGAGGTTAGGGGCTAAATTGATAGGTTAGGACCTGTGGTGGGGTGTCAGGGGCAGTAGTATGAGGTAAGGGGAAGTAGTAGGAGGTAAGGGGAAGTAGTATGAGGTCAGGGGTAGTGGTAAGGGGGCAGGGGCAGTAGTAAGAGGTCAGGACCCGTAGTGGGAGGTTACGATCAGTAATGGGGGTTAGGACCTGTGATGGATGGCTAGGGGCAATAGTAGGGGGTTAGGACCTGTAGTGGGTGGTTAGGGGCGATAGTAGGGGGTTAGGGGCAGTAGTGGGTGATTAGGTACAATAGTATGGGGTTATTGGTAGTAGTGGGTGGTTAGGAGCATTAGTAGAGGGTTAGGGGCAATAGTGGGTGGTTAGGGGCAATTGTATGGTATTAGCGGCAGTAGTGGGTGTTTAGGGGCAATAGTAGACGGTTAGGGGTAGCAGTGGGTGGTTAGGGGCATCAGTAGGCGGTTAGGGGCAATACTATTGGGTTAGAGGCATTAGTAGGGGGTTAGGGCGGTAGTGAGTGGTTATGGGCATAAATAGGGGTTAGGGGCAATAGGGGGTGATTAGGGGTATTGGTAGGGGGTTAGGGGCATTAGTAGAGTGTTAGGAACAATAGTAGGGGGTCAGGGACAGTAGTAGGAGGTAAGGAAAAGTAGTAGGAATTAGTATGGCATCAGGGGTAGTGGTAAGGGGGCAGGGGCAGTAGTAAGAGGTCAGGATCCATAGTGGGAGGTTACGATCAGTAATGGGGGTTAGCACCTGTGATGGATGGCTAGGGGCCATAGTAGGTGGTTAGAACCTGTAGGGGGTGGTTAGGGGCAATAGTAGGGGGTTAGGGCCATTAGTGTGGGGTTAGGGGCAGTATTGGGTGGTGAGGGGTTATAGTAGGTGATTAGGGGTAGCAGTGGGTGGTAAGGGCGTTAGTAGGGGGTTAGTGGCAATAGCAATGGGTTAGAGGCAGTAGTGAGTGGTTATGTGCATTAGAAAGGAGTTAGGGGCAGTAGGGGGTTAGGGGTATTAGTAGGGGGTTAGGTTCTGTCCGTTGTGCTGCGCGTGCCGCCGCTTCACTTCTACAAGTGAAGAGGCCTGCACGGGACACCCTTTCCAAACATGCGCCCTAGGTCGGCGCCCTGCTTGTAGTATACTGGAGGCATTTGAATGGAGGTTTGGATGGCTAGATAGTATCCAGTTATGTGCCTGTTTGCACTGGAAACTTCAAATAGCTGAAAAGCATCTTTTTCATGCAATGTAATATAATGCAGGAAACATATTTGTTTATATTGTCGTACTAAAATTACTATGCTATGTTTCAAGAACATACCGTATATACTCGAGTATAAGCCGAGTTTTTCGGCACATTTTTTGTGCTGAAAACCCCCCACTCGGCTTATACTCGAGTCAGTCTGTATTATGGCAATTTACATTGCCACAATACAGACTAGGACCGCCGGGCTCATTACAAGCCCGGCGGTCCTGTTGGGGGCTGGCAGCGAGCTGTTACTTACCTTCCTGCAGCTTCTGTCAGCTCCCTTCTCCTCCGTGCAGCTCCTCTGTCAGCTCCGTTCTGCTTACAGTGTAAGACTCACGAGACCCGCGGGTCTCTGCCAAACTTTTCATACTGAGATATAGTTAATTGAAATCTGTATAACTGTAATTTCTACATCTGTTGGCATTCTATTATGTTTCTCTTTGCCATTATTTAATTTTTTTAAAGCCTGTATGGTAATGATTAACTACAAAGTTTAATGTATGCTCCACCCTTAGGGTATTTAATATTTTGATTATTTAAGCTACATATTCTATATTGACTTATATTGGCCTATATCTAGACTTGACAGAGACCCGGAATTCAGGCCAAAATGTTGCAGGTTTCGCACTGGTAGAATAAATCTCTTTGACATTTAGTTTGGTGCTGTGGCTCATTATTGGTTTTCTACTGCATCCGTCCTTTTGTGCCAGTATCAAAAAAGCTTAAAGGAACACTATAGTCACCTAAATTACTTAAGCTAAATAAAGCAGTTTTAGTGTATAGATTTCACTGCTCAATTCACTGTATTTTAGGAGTTAAATCACTTTGTTTCTGTTTATGCAGCCCTAGCCACACCTCCCCTGGCAGATTGACAGAGCCTGCATTAAAAAAAAAAACTGGTTTCACTTTCAAACAGATGGAATTTACCTTAAACAATTGTATCTCAATCTCTAAATTGAACTTTAATCACATACAGGAGGCTCTTGCAGGGTCTAGCAAGCTATTAACATAGCAGGGGATAAGGAAATCTTAATTAAACAGAACTTGCAATAAGGAAAGCCTAAATAGGGCTCTCTTTACAGGAAGTGTTTATGGAAGGCTGTGCAAGTCACAGGCAGGGAGGTGTGACTAGGGTTCATAAACAAATGAATTTAACTCCTAAATGGCAGAGGACTGAGCAGTGAAACTGCAGGGGCATGTTCTATACACCAAAACGGCCTCATTAAGCTAAAGTTGTTCAGGTGACTATAGTGTCCCTTTAAGTCATTGGTCATTTTGGTAAGGGCAGTTTCAGAAGAATGGAGGGAGAGTGTATTGTTACCTGGCTTGTGTGCAAGAGACTGAGACTGAGACTGTAAAACAGAAGAGATAAGAAGGTGAAATAGGTTCAATTCAGGAAGGGGCAAACACTGGGAATTAATGGTCCATAGAGTTGAAAAGGAACAGATATAGGCCTGATGAAACAGATGCTACAGGTGAAATATTATATCTGTTATGATACAACAGAATTTTATAACATGACAGGAGTCATGCTCCGCATCAGTACAGGTCAGAGTACCACTGCCTCCTGCTTATAGTGGGTGGATTTTGGATTTAGTGTGATTTATTTATGATTGTTATTAATTATGCTTGGTTGTGAGATTTATGTGCCTTTCTGGCTCTTTTATTTTCTTTGGGGAATGTTTCCTTTACATTACTGATAGTTTTCCATGTGTTTATTTGTACAGATTACTGATAGTTTTCCATGTGTTTATTTATACAGATTACTGATAGTTCGCCATGTGTTTATTTATACAGATTACTGGTAGTTTGCCATGTGTTTATTTACACAGATTACTGGTAGTTTTCCATGTGTTTATATATACAGATTACTGGTAGTTTGCCATGTGTTTATTTATACAGATTACTGGTAGTTTGCCATGTGTTTATTTATACAGATTACTGATAGTTTTCCATGTGTTTATTTATACAGATTACTGGTAGTTTGCCATGTGTATATGTCACAGATTACTGTGAGTTTCCATATGTAGCTATATCACAGATTGCTGTGAATTTCCATATGTAGATATATCACAGATTGCTGTGAATTTCCAGGTCTATATATCACAGACTACTGTGAGTTTCCATGAGTATATATCCCACAAATTACTGGGAGTGTCCATGTCTATATATCACATATTACTGTGAATTTCCATGTAGATATGTCACAGACTACGGTGAGTTTCCACCTAGATATATCACAGATTTTTTGGATTACTGCGAGTTTCAATGTGTATATATATCGCGGATTTCTGTGAGTCCTTTGGCAGTATATACTTATATCACAGATTCTGTGAGTTATAGCACAGTGTATACATATATCACAGATTACTGTGAGTTCTATGGCAGTGTGTATATATCTCACAGATTCCTGTGAGTTCTAGGCCAGTGTATATATATATATATATATATATATATATCACAGATTGCTGTGGGTTCTATGGCTTTGTATATGTATATATCACAGATTACTGTGAGTTCTCAGATTCCTGTGAGTTCTAGGCCAGTGTATATATATATCACAGATTACTGTGGGTTCTATGACTATGTATATATGTATATATCACAGATTTCTGTGAGTTCTATGTCAGTGTATATAGCACGGCTTGCTGTGAGTCTTAGTGCTATAGATATCACGGATTACTGTGAGTTTCACTGACGGTAGATGTCAGTCCTGTCTATGCCGATACTATTCTATCTTATCAGGCTTCTTGGGAAGATTCATTGAGTTGGCAATTGTTTTTGCCCTACTCCTGAAGAGACCATGAGTACAATGCCCTTCAGGCGGTACGATGATGATGATGACCTACAATAAAGATAAGATATCTCATACAGATCTGTATGTACATGTGCATTACAATTTGCACTTTAAAGAAGGTATTGCTCAGCAGAGCTTGATTTTATGGACACTATATCATTGGAACAAATCCAGCTTAAACCCAATACAACTGGTTTTACCTCTATGTTGCCTGCTGGGCACTTAGGGACCGCCAGTCCCGGTTACGGTTTATTCAAACGGTAGTACGCTGTCTAAGATTAGTGTCTAAGGGTCCTAGGTCACAGGATACCCGGAGGATTTACAGATATTTAGGGGACTCTGCCAAACTCAGAGGTCCCCATTACTCATTTAATATGAAACCCAGGATTGGCCTGCTATGTCTGTGCCCCATTGATTGGCCTGCTATGTCTGTGCCCCATCGATTGGCCTGCTATGTCTGTGCCCCATTGAGTGGCCTGCTATGTCTGTGCCCATTTGATTGACCGACTACATCTGTGCCCTTCTGTCTGGCCTGCTCTAACTGGGCCCATCATTGACCTGCTCTACCTGTGCCCGAACCCCCCTTTGGACCACAAACCTGGGGGAATATCACTGAGGTAAGCTCAGTACCCTCTAGGTGGGTGTCCGGACAGTCACTGCTGCCATATTATCCAAGAGGACACCAGGATATGGACATCTAACTGTGATTGGAGGGGTGAAGGCCCTACACCTCATGCCCTGAAGGGCAAAGTTTTTATGAGGATTCCAGGGAACGCAACTACGGGTTATACCCAACGACGACACATCTCCAAGGGGAATTTCGCACAAGCAGGGAACAGTGCTCAGACGCCATATTAGGTATTGGTAGTGTTTTTCTATGTCATGTTTAGCTCCTGACCTCTTCAACTGGATTCACTTGATTCGTTTTTTCCAGTCTGCTATCCGACCTGCTTTCCGAGGTACATATTTTCCATTTTCTACTTCATTGGTCGTTTCTTTGTTTTCGTGCCTTCTATTGTCCTATCGCTCGGGTCGTTGAGAGGCCTGACTTGACCTCCTCCAACCTCCCGGGCGCTCATGGATTGCGGAGAACGTCTCCATCTTTCCTCAGACTACCGACGGTCATCTTGGAGCCCACGCGCACGCACGGGATCCGGGCGGTCCATTGATAGTTACCATCTTCAGCTCCGAAACGTACTTTTCTCATCACCCCTTTCTCTTATTAAGGTCGGACACGGCCCGAGGTTGTATACTTTGCTTATATTAAATAAGGGTGTAGACTCAGTCACCCTGAGTCTCTACTGGACTCTGTTTTGGATTACAGAGGGTGCGGCCCTCCTTCACCTCGGCCCGAGACTGATATTTTTATTTTCAAGAGTAGAGGGCGATCCCCTCTCATTTACCGAATCGGACACTGATTCATTATTAGAGGGCGCGGCCCTCCCTCAACCTCGGCCCGATACTGAGCTAGATATAGAGGACATGCTCCGAGTGACTCATTCTCATAGAAGGAACCGGACACAGAGGTAGACTCTTTGTTTGACTTCTAACGGGTGTGGCCCGCTCATACCACCAACCGTGCGCGGACTCAGAGTGCGATCACATTTTACAGAGTGCAACTCTCTCATACACTCAACGCACTATGGTGCCGTCCATTTGTTCCTCACACAGGTTTGTACCTGTACAGGTCAACTATGACCGCATAGAGGGGCGTCCCTCCTACATCCAATTTAAATATGATGACCGCGCTACTGATTTCATTCTAGAGGGCTACCTGATCGGGCAAGGTGTACATAGTTTGACTGGATCCATCTTGTAATCCACATGAGAAATACCCTCAGAGGTATTAGTGGGGGAGGTTTCCCACTTATGTACACACATTCCGGGAGACAGTACGGCTAAGGAGGAGCCTCAGTTTTTGCAAGAGTACAGGTTTTGGTATAACCTGTGCTATACCA